GCCCGGGTCACGCACGCGGCGGCGCGGGCTCGCCCCCGCGCGCCGGGTCTCGGGTCCTCGGGAAAGGCGGGTTACCCCAGATGACTGAAGGTCACCTTTGCACCTCCACTGCCTTTGACGGAAGCTACTTCAGGACCGGGTCGCCGCCGGTTGTGAGATTAGTTGGGGCGGCTATTGGATGTTGGGGGAGGAGGTGTGTGGCGTGGGGGAGTTCGGGGTGTGGGGCAGCGATTTGGGGGTCAGTTGTCACTCTGTGATTTTCTGTTACTTTCCATATCTATCTATCTATCTATCTATCTATCTATCTATCTATCTATCTATCTATCTATCTATATATATTTTAAAGACTTGTTAAGAGCTCAGATTGTAAATGTTTTGTGCCTTGCATGGGATGCATCCTCTGTGCTTGTTACGTGGCACCTGGGAAGTGTCTGCTCACTTTTCCATGCCTCACTTCCCCTGATGGGTCGTGTTTATTTATTTTATTCAATTTGTGCTTCTCCTTGAATTTGTGGAAACGGGAAGGTTAATCAGCAGGGTTTCTGTCTTGCCAGTAGCTGAGCTAATTGATTTGAATCCTGGCCCAATACCTCTCTGCTGTCCTTCTCTGTCAAAAGCTTGTGATGCTTACAGAGTCTGGGAAAATGAGGAAAGTTGCTTTAAAACGAACGACTGGTTCCCCTCCCCCCCCCCAAATTCACAAGACCTATTCAGTTATCCAGGAAGTGTTAGACATTGTGCTTGCATTCATCCTTGAGTCCTTAAAATGAGACAGTTCTATATGAACACATGAATAGAGCACAGATAGTCTATCCTTAGTCCTGTATATTTTAAGTACTAGAGTCTTGTTTTCTCAGGATATGGATGTAGTGCTTGTTGGACTCTTACTACTTACTGCATTACCATTTTGGCTTAGTCATAAAATAGAGTACTCTAGGTACATCTCAGGCTCCTGTTAACCTCACACTGAAGCCATTGACTTTTTATGTTTCCCTCGTTTAGTTAGTCTGACAGATTGATCTTTCCAAGGCCTCCTGATGCCTTGTTGATTTTCCCACTCATTAGTGCATTTTATTAACTTCCTTTTGCCTACCAAGTTAAGGACACATATTGAATCCCACACTTAAGACCTTCCTGCTATGTGGTACCAAGTTCCTTTTGCCAGTCATCATCTTTGGCTCTTGTTTTTATTTTGAAGAAAAGTAGGATTAATTACCGTTTTTAAACTATGTCTTTGTTCATACTGCCTTTTCCCCTCACTTCTTTTTTTTTTTTTTTTTTTGATCCAGTCGTGGGGCCTGAACTCTGGGCCTGAGTGCTGTCCCTCAGCTCTTCAGCTCAAGGCTAGCGCTCTACTACTTGAGCCACAGCGCCACTTCTGGAGTTTTTCTTTTTGCTTATGTGGTGCTGAGGAATCGAACCCAGGGCCTCAGGCATGCAAGGCAAGCGCTCTACCACTGGGCCAACTTCCCAGCCCTTCTTTTTTTTTTTTTAATTTATTTTTTTGCCAGTCCTGGGCTTGAATGCAGGGCTTGGGCACTGTTCCTGAACTTCTTTTGCTCAAGGCTAACATGCTACCACTGAGCCATATTCCCAGCCCTCCCCTTACTTCTGGAATGGCTTTATTTTCCTTCAGAGCTCATCTCATGTCATGTATTGATTCTTTTTCTGTTAGTGTTCTGTTTTAGATTCCTATAGTATTTTGGGTATCTTAATTATAGCCCTTGCTATATTGGCTTGCATACTCATTGAAGAGACTAAGCTCTTTGGGATGGGGATTTAGTATGGTAGTGCAATTTGGGTAGCATGCACTCGTTTCTAAAATTGTAAGGACCCTTCTTGTATTGCCTTAATGAAAATACTTATTTCCAGGATTATTGAAGCTGAGGCGAGGAGGATGGTTGGGCTATGGAGCAGGGCCCTGTAATAAACAAAAAAGTCATTATTAGGTAAAATTTGGAGTTGATGAATTTAAAAATAAGCTCAGTAAAATTTATGTCTGCCAAACTGCTACATTATGCTTACTTGCGTTAGTATATTCAATTTATGCCAAAATATGACATGTTAGCTATGAAGTTTTTTTTTCAATTCTGAAATAATAGAACATCTAGAGCATTTATTTGTAGAAATAAACATTTTCTGAGTAGATGGTCAAAAAGTATTTTCACATTGCTTTTTTTCTTGAAAGGAATCCAAAACTACCTATCTGGAAGACCTTCCACCACTGCCTGAGTACGAATTGAGCTCATCTAAGTTAGGGGAGGAAGTGGATGATGTTTATCTCATTCGAGCTCAAGGATTGCCTTGGTCATGCACTGTGGAAGATGTACTTAACTTTTTCTCAGGTATATATTATGTGTGTTTTAAATATATAATTTCATATGAGTGAAAGGTAGTTCTGTGAAACTGAAATTCAGGAGGTACCATTTTTGATGGTTAGAATTATCTCATTTTGGTTAGTTATATATTCATACCATGTGACCTGTACATACATGTGACATGTACACCATTGGTGGCATATAGATTTAAAGATTGAATATAACAAAATTAATGTTAAATGCAGGATATGAAGTCAGTTTTCTCTGAAGTTTTAATGCATGCATAACAAAAATTCAAACTTACTATTAGTGGAAATAAGGAATTAAGAGTAGTGTCTATGTAATCTACACATTTAGAATGAAAGATTACTTGCACAAATAAAATAATATTGTGGTTAATCTTTTCGTTTTTGTATTTGTGATGTGGGTTTTTTTTTTCTCCTTCTGTTCTCTTTTTTTTCTTTTTTGGTGCTGGCTGTGAGGCTTGAACTCAGGGCCGGGGTACTGTCTCTGACCTTTTTTCTGTTCAAGGCTAATGCTGTACTACTTGAGCCAGAACTCAACTTTCTAGCCTTTTGGTGTCAAGGACTTTCCTACCTAGGCTGATTTCGGACCTCAGTCCTCAGATCACATCATCCTGAGTAGCTAGGATTTATAGGCATGAGCAGCCAGAACCTGGCTTTTGTCTATGATATTTAAATTTTCCTCTTTAAAGGTTTTTAAAGGATACAACTGAGTGGGTGCCTTAAATATACACAGTATATGTGTATATTAACTCACAGTGTGAGTTAAGCATTGTGTAAAGCCATTTACAGTTTATATCTTTGACTTGCATTATAAGAAATACACAGTATAGACATGTCACGTAATGAAAAGAGAGAAAAATTAAATTATTGCAGCAAACTTTTTTTGGTAGTACTGGGGATTGAATTCACGGTCTCCATCTTGCTAGACAGGTGCTCTACCAATTGAGCCATGCCTCCTCCATTTTGTGTTGGCTAGTTTTGAGGTAGGATCTCAATTGAAGCCTAAGTGTCCTTAGTGTCCTTAGGCTTCAATCCTCCTATTTGTGCTTCCCCCAAAGATGGGATAACAAAGCATGTACCACTGTGCCCAGCATTTGATTTGATAGAAATTCTTTTTTTGCGGGGGGTGGGGGGTCTGGTCTTGGGGCTGAACTCGGCCTGGGCACTGTTCCTCAGCTCTTCAGCTCAAGGCTAGCGCTGTACCACTTGAGCCACAGCGCCACTTCCGGCTTTTTTCTTTTTTCTTATGTGGTGTTGAGGAATCGAACCCAGGGCCTCAGGCATGCAAGGCAAGCGCTCTACCACTGGCCACCTTCCCAGTCCTGATAGAAATTCTTGAACTTTTATAGTACTCCAGGCTAGTATTTAACCTTAATCCTCTAATCTCTTGCCTCCTGAATAGCTAGGATTACAGGCTGAGCTACCTCACCCATCAGCAAAGTTTTTTGTATAGGAGCTATTTTAAGAATATGATTTTAAATTTAGGAATAAATTCAACCATACTTCATTTCCTTAAGGGATTTGAAACTGATGTTGGAACATTGGGTTGGACAAATTCATTTTGTATTGAGCCTAGTTTGACTTGCGGTTTAATGGTTGGCATAAGCATCTGTCCTGAAGTTTGCTTGTGTATTATACTAGGAATATTTTAGATACGATCACCTCATTAGTGTTTGGATGACTTCAGTAACTAGGAATTTGTGTAAAAAGAATGATAGACAATTTTTTTATTAGTGTAAAGTAATTATACAAAGGCATTGTGATATTTACACATGTTTTGATAATGTATTCTGAATCAGACTCAGCTATCTATATTATTCTTAACTCCCTGCCTTTGTCCCCCCACTTTTTAAAGTTATTAGCAGGTTTTGTTATGGTGTTTTCATACATATATGTACACATACAATGTACATTGATTATCTTTTTATCTCCCACTGCTTCCCATTGTTCAGTCTCCTTTCACTCATGTGTGATAAACATTTTAGTTCCTGCGTTGTTGGAAAATTGTAGCCTAGTGACTTGCATAATTGAGCTATGAGTTTGATTTGTTTTTGATTGACTTTATTCATATGCCTTTAGACTGCAGAATCCGAAATAGTGAGAATGGAATACATTTCCTCTTAAACAGAGATGGGAAGCGAAGGGGAGATGCCTTAATTGAAATGGAGTCAGAGCAGGATGTGCAGAAAGCCTTAGAAAAGCACCGGATGTACATGGGCCAGCGGTATGTGGAAGGTATGTAAAATTAGTCTGGCTTTTTGAGATGTTACATTAGATTTTATATCAAGGCAGTTTTTATTTGATTTTTAACAATAGTAAGGTAGTTGTAATAACATTGTATGATTTGTGACAGATGAGACACAGAGATAATGTTTTATTTTTATTTTTAATGCTGGTACCGGGGTTTGAACTCAGGGCTTTGAGACCTTGATTGGCGTATTCAAGGTTGGCAATTTACCACTTGAGCCAGAGCTCCTCTTTGTTTTTGTTTGCTAGTTAATTGGAAATAAAGGTCTCACTGATTTTTCTGCCTGGGCTGGCTCTGAATCCCTGTCTTCAAATCTTAGCCTCCTGTGTAACTAGGATCATAGCTATGAACCACATGTGCCTGACCTGTTTCTTACCTATAAATGGTAATGACTAAGTTTATCTTAAAAGTTGTGAGGATTAGGGCTGGGAAGGTGGCTCAGCGGTAGAGCGCTTGCCTTGCAAGCCTGAGGCCCTAGGTTCGATTCCTCAGCACCATAGCAAAAAAAAAAAGTTGTGAGGATTAAATGGGTTGTATCTGATACTCATACTTATTAAATAAGTGTTATTTGGTATTTTCTTGAGAGAAGAGTATATAGATTAGAGCTACTAGTGTTCAAATTCTTGGATAATACTACCCTTGGTATAATATATTTGAATCTTTAAAATTCTTTCTTCTTTTGTAATGTAAATTTTACACCTGTTATGTGCTTTCCTTTGTAGTCTATGAGATAAATAATGAAGATGTAGATGCCTTAATGAAGAGCCTGCAGGTCAAATCATCACCTGCAGTAAATGATGGCGTGGTTCGCTTGAGAGGACTTCCTTACAGTTGCAATGAAAAAGACATTGTAGACTTCTTTGCAGGTGCTTTGTTATTTGATATTTAGGGTCTAATATCCATCTCCCAGTTTATTATCTTTTCCTTTTATACCTTAGAAATGTTTTGGTCTTTCAAGTAAACCTTGGGATGTCCGATTCAAAATAACTCATAAGGGTTTAACTGCTGAAAAATACAGCTTTTTAAAATAGTGGCCATATTTTTCTAGGACAGTGTGTATGATTTAAAAATATTAGGCCGGGTGCCAGTGGCTCACACCTGTCTTAATCCTAGCAACTCAGGAGGCTGAAATCTGGGGATCATGGTTCAAAGCCACCCTGGTCAGGAAAGTCTGTGAGACTTATCTCCAATTAACCACCAAAAACTGGACGTCGAGATATGGCTCAAGTGATAGAGCATTAGCCTTGAGCAAAACAAAAAAGCTTGCTCAGTGACAGCATCCAGTCTCTGAGTTCAAGTCTTCCCCCACCCTCCACAGTATTACTCAATTGCTAGCTGTGAAATAAACACCTTTTTTTTTTCCTTTTGTACTGGTACTGGGGCTTGAACTCAGGGCTTCCAGCTATTGCTCTGCTTTTCTTGCTTATGCTGGTTTTCTATGACTTGAGCCATACCTCTGGCCTTGCTTTTTGTTGGTTTGGAGATAGAGTATTACAGACATTTCTGCTTGGGCTGTCTTTCATTGAGATTCTCTAGGTCTTGGCCTCTTGAGTAGCTAGGACTATACTATATGTCATGGGTGCCTAGCCAAATATGCACTAATAGTAGTAATGTTAGTCTAAATGCCTGTTGTCCCTGAAACAGTATTATAATGGGTAATAAAACAAAACAAAATACCCTGAGCAAAGTAAAACCTCGAGAGAAAGAGTTGTGTGGATTCTAAACATCCTGGAAATCCCAAGTAGAAAGTGTTGCTAATTTTTGGCTGCATAAAAGCTGTCTCCTCTTTTAAGCATGGGTCTGGCTTTGGAATTGGCCAAACAGCATACAAATTTTATTAGTACATGAGTGAATGTGTTAGTTTCAAACCTCCTATGAGCAGCACAAATTTGTAATAATGTTTTTCATCCTAGGACTGAATATAGTAGACATTACTTTTGTAATGGACTATAGAGGGAGAAGGAAAACAGGGGAAGCCTATGTACAGTTTGAAGAACCAGAAATGGCCAGCCAAGCTCTTTTGAAACACAGGGAAGAAATTGGTAACCGGTGAGTGAAGCATATACTAGTGATCAGGTCATCTTGATGTATGCATTGTAATAAGACTGGAAAATTATCCAAACATAGGAAAGTAGAGAAAATGTATACTGAGCCCCTAAATGCCCAACACTTAGATTAATAAATTAACATTTTATATTTCTTTTTTTTTTTTCTGTATGTGCCTTTTAAGAGGGAGCAGTACTTGGATCTTTGCATGGCTAGGCAGGTGCTCTACCACTTGTGCTATTTCCCAATTTTGTATGTATTTTTGTTGTTAGTACTAGGGCTCGAACTCGAGGTTTTAGACCTCTTGGCTTTTTCCACTCAGACTAGTGTTCTACCACTTGAGCCATACCTTCCTTTCTGACTTTTTGCTGGTTAATTGGAGATAAGAATCTCTTAGAAGCTGGGCACAGCTGGCTTACGCCTGTAATCCTAGCTACTCAGGAGGCTGAAATTTGAGGATCACAGTTCAAAGACAGCTGGGGCAGGAAAGTCTGTGAGACTCTTATCTCCAATTAACCACTCGAAATCCGGAAGTGGCGCTGTGGCTCAAGTGGTAGAGTGCTCGCCTTGAGCTGAAAAGTGCAGGGACAGCGCTCAAGACTAGAGTTCAAGCCCCACGACCTACCAAAAAAATAAAAGGATCTCTTAGATTTGTCTGCCTGGGCTGGCTTCAAACCTCCATCCTTATATCTCAGCCTCTTGAATAGCTAGGATTATAAGTTAGCCACTGATCCCTGGCTCTGTATGTATCTAAAAGAATACATTATCTTACATAGTCAAAATGTTATCACATCTACTAAAGTTAACAATATTTTTATTATCTAGTAAACTTATAGCCACATTTTCTTAAGTATACCAAAAATGGCTGTTTAGTAGTTGGTTTGTTGAATGAGAATCTAGACAAACCACATTTTCCATTTGATATGTCGCTAATCCTATTAAACTAGAGCATTTCTCCTTTGTTTTCTTGTTTTCTCTCTTCTTAAATGCAGTTGGCTTTGGAAGAATTGGGTCAGTTGTCTTACACTGTGTCTCCTGTTCGAATTACAATGCACATTATGATGTAGGTGATTCATGTCTTGATCTCAATTTGGGAGATAAGAGAAAAAGTGGTTCTATTTTAAATTATAGTTTTTGTCACTTTCAATCTTTTTTACTCAGTTCCTTTGGAATTAAAAACAACAAAAACAAGCAAACCATTCCAAAACCAATGTATTTCAGCAGCATCTGCTTACAGGATTGCAGTGCAGGCTGGCCTCCAATTTGTAATATTTCTGCCTTTGCCTCCCTAGTGCCAGGATTATAGGTACCACCACTCCCCTGTACTCAAACATGTTTTTAAAGAAGTAGTGTTCCTTAGCATTTATTCCCCCTCTTCCCTTTGGGGTTTGGGAGATTGATTTTGAGCCTTGCATGGTAGGCAAAGTACTCTGTATGGAGCTTTGATCTTAAAAGGTTTGTAAATATGGCTGATTTTTTTTTTTTTTTTTTGCCAGTCATGGGGCTTGAACTCTGGGCCTGAGTGCTGTCCCTCAGCTCTTCAGCTAGCACTCTACCACTTGAGCCACAGTGCCACTTCTGGCTTTTTTTCTGCTTATGTGGTGCTGAGGAATGGAACCCAGGGCCTCATGCATGCAAGGCAAGCACTCTACCACTGAGCCACCTTCCCAGCCCAATATGGATGATTTTTACAGCTCACACTTAATCTCCTTTGGAAAACTAGTAATGAGAAAAAGAAGCTTGGGTTTGATAAATAGTCCCACTGCCACTACAGTATCTTTTTTTTTTTTAATTTTAAATATATATTTTATTGTAAAGATACTGTACAGAGGGCTTACAGTAAGGTAATGAGTACATTTCTTACCAAGCATTGTTACCCCCTCCTTTGTTTTTCCCCTACCATCTCTCCCAAGTTGTAAGGCTTGTTTTCAACATACTGTCTTGTACATCTCATTGTTACAATGGGTCAACCTCACTACAGTATCTTGACAAGTTAGTTAGAATTAAAGCTTAGTTTTTTTTGTTTTTGAGGCAGGGTCTCACTGTGTAGCCCAGACTGGAGTCACACTTACAATGTATGCAAATCTTCGAAAGAATGTAATCAACTATATTAATCTGTATTTATTTATTTTGGTGTAACAAATGCTTGGGCCAGGCTATTTATGAAGAAATAGATTTATTTTTGAAAGTCCAGACAATGTGGTACAGAGTTTGGCAAAATGCAGGTTTCGAGCATGGGAATAAAAATCACATCTAAGGGCTGGGCAAAATTGCCTCAGGTAAACTGGGCGATGGTGGCTCACGCCTGTAATCCTGGCTACTCAGGAGGCTGAGATCTGAGGATTTCGGTTCAAAGCCAGCCTGGGCAGGAAAGTCTGTGAGACTTTTATCTCCAATAAACCACTAGAAAAGTAAAAGTGGTGCTGTGCTCAAGCAGTAAGAGTGCTTGCCTTGAGGTGAAGAGTGCAGGGACAGTGCCCAGGCCCAGAGTTCAAACCCCACAACTAACCAAAAAAAAAAAAAAATTGCCCAAGTCTGTAACCCTGGCTACTCAGTGGGCTGAGGTTTGGCAGAAAAACCCATGAGACTCCAACTACAGAAATGTAGCCAGCAAAAAAGGGCTGAGCTGGAGGCATGGCAGAACTGGTAGTGTGCCAGAAAACAAAAAGCTGGAACAAACTTTTGAGTTTAAACCCTGGTACAAACAAACAAAAAAAAGCATAGTATAGAACTGAAAGCAGAGTGTCTCAGAGATCAGGGTGAGAATTACTGGCCTGTGCTGATTTCAGGAGACGAATATTTCTTTCCCATGGTAAGACCCATCTCTTAAGGTTTCTCAGAACCTCCCAATACAGGCACTCTAAGGACTTTACTTGAAACAGAAAATCTTGAGGACAAGCAACACAACTGTGTTACTAGAATGTTATACCCACAATTAACATTAGCATAGTTGTTTTTTTTGAAGCAAAACAATAAAAAATATTGTTGAAAGTATATATGCATAAAATAGATTGGATACCTGTAGCTCATACCTATCATCCTAGCTACTCAAGGGACTGAGATTGTCAGGATTGAAATTTGTTGCCAGTCCAGACAGAAAAGTCTAAGAGACTCCATCTCCAAAATAACTGGCAAAAAACTGGGCTTGAGGCATGATTTAGAGCACCAGCTGAGCAACAAGCCCAGTAAACTCAAGGCCTTGAGTTCAAACCGTAGTACTGGCAAAAAAAATCTGTTAAGCAAACTTACCTGAGGTAAAGCCTTAAGGCAAAAAAGATTAATTTATTGATCTGTTGAGAGTACTCTTTCATGTCTTTAAATCTATGTCCAATTTTAATTTTCCTACTACCTGTTATTTTTGGGTTTCATAAGCTGTGGATATAAATACCTGGTTATTTTAAAACAATATATACCTGATTATTTTTGAAGAGTTCAGTGTAAAGTTACCTAGCAACAATTGTGCCTAGTCATTTTTGCTTTGACAGATACATAGAGATATTTCCAAGCAGAAGGAATGAAGTTCGAACGCATGTTGGCTCTCATAAGGGAAAGAAAATGGCATCTTCTCCTACTACTAAGTACATAACTGAGCCAGAAATGGTATTTGAAGAGCATGAAGTAAATGAGGATATGCGACCCGTGACAGCTTTTGAAAGTGAGAAGGAGATAGGTAAAGTCTTGCCTCTTCTTAATATCCCTTGGCATATACCTTGTATATTTTTGGTGGTGGTCAACTTTTTGTGTTGTCATGTTTTCTGAAACTGAGATTGCAGGACAAAAGAATTGGGAAGTATTTTATGTCTTTGAGTATAGAATATACACGGAATGATTGTATTTGAAGAAGGGCTTAGCTATTCTGTTAGGTATTTGGTTTTTTGTTTGTGCTGAATCTGGGGCTTGAACTTAGGGCCTAGACTTGAACTTTTTGCTTAAGGCTTGTGTTCTATCATTTGAGCTACAGCTTCACTTCTGGCCTTTTGCTGGTTAATTGGAGATAAGGGTTTCATGAACTTTCCTCTCTGGGCTGGCTTTGAACTACAATTTTCAGTTTTCAGCCTCTTCAGTAACTAGGATTATAGGCAGCCATTTGCATCAACATGTTAGGTTTTTAAATTTTTTCTACATTAAAAAGGTAGGGGAAAAAAAGGAAATAAAATCACCATTGAAAATAAGTAGGGAAGCATTTCAATACAGAGCCAGAATACTGGCTAAAGATTTGTTTCTGAATTAATGTTTTCTCTGTTTCCTAATTCCAGATCAACATTTAGGATCTTTGAAATTGCATAAATACCTTTAAAAATAGTACTATGGGGATTTCCCATTATCCAAGTTGTGGCTTTTGTTTTGTTGTTTGTTCCAGTAATAGTTTAGAAAGTTTCCCTTGCTTTATAGTTTTTTTTTTTTTTGTCGGTCGTGGGGCCTGAACTCTGGGCCTGGGCACTGTCCCTGAGCTCTTCAGCTCAAGGCTAACACTCTACCACTTGAGCCACAGCGCCACTTCTGGCTTTTCTGTTTCTGTGGTGCTGAGGAGTGGAACCCAGGGCCTAATGCATGCAAGGCAAGCACTCTACCACTGAGCCACCTTCCCATCCCTACTTTATAGTTTTAATTCAAGACCATTTAACTTTCCCTCTTGTTGCAAAAAGATAAGTTTTTGATTTGGTAATGTTGTGAGGCACTGAATGTGTGTGGGTGTTCACATAATACTTGTTAAGCCAGGGGAGTTGAAATTTGGTACTGGTTCAAGGAGAGTTGAAGGTTTTTGACGTAAGGTCATATCTGATTATATTATGTTCATAGATTTGAAGCTTTTATTTCTTTAACAAAGTTTTTGTTCCACCTCTCAGAATTGCCAAAAGAGATGTCAGAAAAGCTTCCAGAGGCTGTGGATTTTGGAACTACGCCTTCAATGCATTTTGTCCACATGAGAGGATTGCCTTTCCAAGCCAATGCGCAGGACATTATAAATGTGTGTGGCAGTAAGATATCCATTGTCAGTAAAGTTGAATAAAATCTAAAATTGGCCAGGTGCTGGTGGCTGATGCCTGTATTCCTTGCTACTCAGAAGGCTGAGCTGTGAGGATCATAGTTCAAAGCCAGCCCAAGTAGGAAAGTCTGTGAGATTCTTATCTCCACTAAAACTACCAAAAAAAGCTGGAGCTGGAGCTCAAGTGGTAGAGCACTAGCCTTGGGCACAAAAGCTCAGGGACAGTGTCCAGTGTCCAGTTCAAGTCCCAGAACTGGCCAAAAAAAACAAAAATCAAGGCTGGGAATGTGGCTCAGTGGTAGAGTGCTTACCTGGCATGCATGAAGCTCTGGGTTCAATTCCTTAGTACCACGTACACAGAAAAGGCCAGAAGTGGTGCTGTGGCTCAAGTGGTAGAGTGCTAGTGTTGAGCAAAAGAAGCTCAGGAACAGTGCCCAGGCCCTGAGTTCAAGCCCAGGACTGGCAAAAAAACAACAATAACAACAACAACAAAATCCAAACCTGCCCCCCAAAACAACAACAACAACAACATAAAAACCTAAAATTGAACTTGCATTCATTTGGGAAAGGAGGAGAAGAAATGCATTAGTCTTTGGGCAGTAAGATAGCATCCCCCTTGTTGTAGCGACTTCTATCATTTCTATACCTGAAAAGTATGGTATAGTTAGGCACAGTGAGTGCACCTACACTCCCAGCAAATGGGAGGTTGAGGCTGGAGGATTACTTGTACTTGGGTGTTTAAATCTAGTGTTGGCAGCATAGACTGTCACTTAAAGTTGGCTTTTTACTAACTTTAAAGTGAAAATAGTCAAACAGATAGGATCATTTTTTTCTTTTTGTTTTGTTGGTCATGGGGCTTGAACTAGAGGCCTAGGCATGTCCCTGAGCTCTTTTGCTCAAGGCTAGTGCTTTACCACTTTTAGGCACAGATTGTCTTCCAGAGTCTTAGGGACTTTACTGCCTGTGCTGGCTTTGACCCACAATCCCTTATCTCAGTCTCCTGAGTAACTAGAATTACAGGCATGAACCACCAATGCCAGACAAGATGATTTATAGATACAAAATAATATGGCATAGATTTAGTCACCAGAGCAAAGGAGTCTAGAATAAATTGATTCAACCCATTGTACATGGGTTTGATTTTTTTTTTTTTTTTTGGTTGGTCATGGGGCTTGAACTGGGTCTGGGTGCTGTCCCTGAGCTCTTCAGCTCAAGGTGAGTGCTGTACTGCTTAAGCCACAGTGCCACCTCCAGTTTTCTAGTGGTTTATTGCCTAGACTGGCTTTGAACTGTGATCCTCAGATCTCAGCCTCCTGAGTAGCTAGGATTACAGGTGTGAGCCACCATCGCCCAGCTTGATTTTTTTTTTTTAAGGCAGAATTTTGCTGTGTAGCCATATTGTCTTTTAATTCATTGTTCTCTGACCTTGGTCTTCAGAGTGCTGTTTGTCACTAACCTTGGCCATCAACATTCATTTTTTACCTTAGGAAAAAAAAATTATGAAACTAGCATAATGAAACCCCTTAATATATGCCAGAAAAATAAAATTAATTGAAAAAAACCCCAAAAAAACACTTAGGTACATGATCACAGCAAAGTTGTAAATCAGTGTTTATTTTCTGAACTATGTGATTATGCCCTGATAATCCCATCAGAGGTTGGAAATGTGTTCAGTACACCTTATCTGTTGAGTATTACAGCTTGGCAACACAGTACCCTATTGAATATTGGGTGCATAAATCTTATTTTGTAATAGATACTTCATAAAATTTTTTTTTTTTTTTTGATTCAGTCGTGGGGCCTGAACTCTGGGCCTGGGCACTGTCCCTCAGCTCTTCAGCCCAAGGCTAGCGCTCTACCACTTTGAGCCACAGCACCACTTCTAACTTTTTTCTTTTTGCTTATGTGGTGCTGAGGAATTGAACCCAGGGCCTCATGCATGCAAGGCAAGTGCTCTACCACTGAGCCACCTTCCCAGCCCGCTTCATAAATTTTTTTTTTAAAAGGGAAAAATATGAAGCCCTTGACTCTGTACTAGATAAACTATAGATTCAGTCATAGAACCTTCAGTTAGTGAAGCCTCAGAGTTACCATTTTTTCCAGACTTGTTTCTTTCTTTTTTTTTTTAAACTGGATTGAACATAGGATCTTGAGCATGCTAGGCAAGTGCTCTTCCACTTAAGCTAAACTTCTTAAATTCTCTCTCTCTCTCTCTCTTTCTCTTTCTCTCACGTTTTGAGATTGGGTTTTGCTAACTTTTCCCAGGCTGACAGTCAACTCACTCCTGGTTCCTACTCCTGAATAGCTGTAATTACAGGCTTGCTTTATCCTTCCTTGCTGGATTCTTATTATTGTCAGTCATGGAGCTTGAAGTCAGGGCCTGAATGCTGTCACTGAGCATTTTGTGCTTAAGGCTATCTCTACCACTTGAGCCACATCTCCACTTCTGGCTTTTTTGTTTCATGGATTTTCCTGTCTGGGCTCCATACCTGGGTCATCAGATCTCAGACTCCTGAGTAGTAGCTAGGATTATAGCATGAACCACTGGTGGCTGGTCTTGGCCTAGTTTAATATGTTCTTTGGTTGTGTTTGTTGTTTAGTTTTTTGCTCCACTGAAGCCTGTAAGAATCACCATGGAATACAGTTCCAGTGGGAAGGCCACTGGCGAAGCGGATGTGCACTTTGATACCCATGAGGATGCTGTTGCAGCTATGCTCAAGGATCGTTCCCATGTTCGTAAGTACTACCCATGCTTTCCCTGTTGCTTTAGATGTTATTTATTTATTTATTTTTGTTGGTCATGGGACTTGAACTCTGGGCCTGAGCAATGTCCCTGAGCTCTTCAGCCCGAGGTGGACACTCTACCATTTGAGCACAGTGCCACTCTAGGTTTACTGTAGGTGGTTAATTGGAGATAAGAGTCTTACAGACTTTCCTGCCTGGGCTGGCTTTGAACTGTGATCCTTAGTTCTCAGCCTCCTGAGTAGCTAGAATCCAGGTGTGAGCCATTGGCACCCAGCTAAGTTTTCTATTTTATTTTTGGTTGGTCATGGGGGCTGAGCTCTGGGTCTGGGCACTGTCCCTAAGCTCTTAAGCTCAACGCTAGCGCTCTACCACTTGAGCCACAGCACCACTTCCGGCTTGATTCTGCTTATATTGTGCTGAGGAATTGAACCCAAGGCCTCATGCATGTGAGGGTAGCACTCTACCACAGAGTGGTAGAGTTTTTTATTTTTATTGTGTTGAATTTACTTTCTGCTAATACTGGGGTTTGAGTTCACGGCTTTGAACTCTAGCTCTACTTTTTCACTCATGACTGTTGCTCTACCACTTGAGCTATACCTCTAGTTCCAGCTTCTTGCTAGTTTATTGAATATACAATCTAGAGGATTCTAGGTGTGAGCCCCCAGCACTTGGCTCTTGAGTTTTGAGATGGAAGTCTCCTTTTGTTGATGAGGCTGGAAGGGGCTCAAGCAATGATCACATCTGAGCATATAGGTAACAGGAATGGTAGTTGTGTACCATTGCACTCAGCCTTGTTTTTCTTTTTTTTTGTACCAGTTCTGGGGCTTGAACTCAGGGCCTGGGCTCTGTATCTAAGCTTTTTTGCGTAAGGCTAGTGCTCTACCACTTGAGCTGTACTTGGGCTTTTTTCTAGTAGTTTATTGGAGATAAGAGTGTCATGGTCTTTCCTTCCTGGGCTGGCTTTGAACTATGATCCTCAGATGTCAGCCTCCTGAATGGCTAGGATTATAGGTGTGAGCCACCAGTGCCTGGCTCAGCCTTGCTTTTATTTTTTAAATTTTAATTTTTTTATTGTGATTGATTACAAAATTTCACAGTATTGTGAGATAGTGATACTTGAAGTCACAAACACATTCTAACTTTCATGAGGCAAATTGTCATTATCATGGTCTATAAAGTGTGTGAATTCTCTGAGCTTTGACAATACAGCTATTTCTTCCACATTGGGTGGTATGAACGTTTCTTTCCTTTTGCTGTCAGCTGTTCCCTCTTTCCCCCTCATTCCCTTACTCCCATCACTGCCCTTGACTTGCTTAGTTCATTTCATCAATGTCCAGTGCAGCTGATGGGCCCCTCTGTTGTATGTTTTTCCCTGTTTCTGTTTTCCCTCTGATTCTGTGTCCTCCTCCTAATTTCCCTCAGATGTGTTCATATATATAGCATATATGTGGTCAACAACATGGGGTCATTTAGTAATGATATGACAAGATGAGTGGTGGTCCTTTGTTTCTCGAGTCTTGTTTACTTTGTTGTATCTCCTTTCAGCCTTGCTTTTAAATAGGGAAAGGCCAAAGGATTTGGATTGTTGGCTGAACTAATAAGAAAAGTAGGTTCAATATTTTTTTTGCATTTCAGCTTTTCAGAACTAACCCATTTTTTTCTATTGTTTTCAGAGCATAGATATATTGAGCTGTTCCTAAATTCATGTCCAAAAGGAAAATAAGACTTCCATGGACTTCATATAATAAGGTAAATTGGCAGTAACTCAGTACCTTGTATTTTCTACCACTTGAGTTAGGCTTTTTCAGCCCTTGTATTAAGTGTTATGAAGCCAGGTGCTGGTGGTTCATACCTGTAATCCTAGCTACTCAGGAGGCTGAGATCTGAGGATTACAGTTTGAAGCCAACCTGGGCCGGAAAGTCTGTAAGACTTTTCTCTCCAGTTAACTGCCAGTCAACTGGAAGTGGAGTTGTGGCTCAAAGTGCTCGCTAGCATTGAGCAAAAGAGCTCAGATAGCCTCCAGGCCCTGAGTTCAAACCTCATGACAGGGGCTGGGAAGGTGGCTCGGTGGTAGAGCACTTGCCTTGCATGCCTGAGGCCCTGGGTTCGATTCCTCAGCACCACATAAGCAAAAAGAAAAAAGCCGGAAGTGGCACTGTGGCTCAAGTGGTAGAGCGCTAACCTTGAGCTGAATTGCTGAGGGACAGCACCCAGGCCCAGAGTTCAGGCCCCACGACCTGACCAAAAAAAAAAAACCAAAAACCAAAAAACAAACCTCATGACAAACAAAGAAATTATGAAAATGATTTTATTTTCTTAAGAAGTACATGACTTATAGGCTTAACTTAGACATATTTGGAAATATGCCTTGGTGAGGTACAGTTCCTTTCCTGTATTTTAATATATTGTATTATTTGTTTACTTGTAGTGATAATTTCTTTTTTTTTTTTTTTGCCAGTCCTGAACTCAGGACATGGGCACTGTCCTTGAGCTTCTTTTGCTCAAGGCTAGCACTATACCATTTGAGCCACAACGCCACTTCGGGCCTTTTCTGTTTTATGTGGTACTGAGGAATTGAACCCAGTGCTTCATGCATGGTAGGCAAACACTACCATTAGACCACATTCCTCGCCCCGACAAATTTTGAGACATTTAGCTGTAATGAGTTTTTTGAGGTGCAAATAGGTTATTCTATTCCTATAGATGTGTTATAGGCTACTTTTGGATATCAGTTCCTGCAATTCCATGATGCTAAATATTTATTTTGTCCAACTCCATATGTAAAATATATTCTGTGTTCAATTCTGAGTCTTTCTTCATACCAGCTACATATACCAATCTCCAACTAATTTCCTGTACTTTAACTGTTTGTCAGTAACTTAAACTAAATTAGAAAAACATTTTTTGGATTTGTAATTTTAAATGGTAAATGTGGAACGGTTTCTGTTTTGTCTTATTTTCAGAGTGAAGCAAGAAGCATTTCATTTGCACATCGTCCTTGGATATGGGATATTAAGTTCCAGTTTACTGGTATCAACTACTAGAGAAAGGATTTTTAGATTTTGGATTTATTGCTTATAAGAAAAATTCATGATGGATTGTTTAGAAAGATAGCTTGAAATTATGAGATAGACCACAAAATTTCCATTTAAACTATCCAGGATCTGATTAAGAAAATATGGTCTTTATTTTACATAATTAAAGTTTTTTTTCTTGAGTATTTGCTACCAGTTGTAAAGACTATATATTCAGCACTATACTTGAAGGTCTTTTTCCTCCCATTTCAAAAGTTAATCTGTTCAAAGTTTTTCTTTTTCTTCTTCAAAGTTTTATGGGTTTTTTTTTGCCTATGAATTGAGAGCTCCAATATAAAACTTCTCATGTATAATGATGGTTTATTATAAGCAAGACCAACATAAGAGAAGGTTTCAGATCTTTAAACAAGTATGGTTTGGCAAAATAGTTTTCATTTTTGCTGTATTTGATTGCATAAATAGGGGTAAAAATGTTACAAAAAACCAAAAAACATGGGTTATTGATTGAGTGCTTATATATAGCAACTTGGCAGTTATGTTAGAGTTTTGTCTTTCTAAGCCTTATGCTAAAGGCATTTAACATTGGTGCCTGTCTACTTAAGGAGGAAGTCTAGTCTCAGAAGTTGTCTGAGTAACCTCCTTTTGGTTTGGGGTGAATTTTAAGGGTGTTTTATTAGACTAGGAATTGTGTAAAGTGATATGTCAAGGCAGTACAGCCTGATAAGAACATAAATGGCTTCACTTGAATTTAAACCAGCTCTATTAGATAAGAAAAAAATCTAATCTCCTCATTTGCTTTTCCAGTGGGTAGTACATCCTATATTTTAGAACAAGTAGAGGTGACTTGCTTAAAAAATAATACTGTATACTTATGTGAAGGGTTATGGACAAAGCTGTATTTCTGTCACACTGTGGCAGTGCCTTCTGCTTTAATATTAAACAGCTTGTTATTTAAATATTGGACATAATGGCTGGCTTCAAAATGTAGTCATTAATAAACTTAACTTCATGTGCACCTGTGTAGGAGAATCAAAGTCCTGTATGCTTTCCTTGCCTTGTTCCTGTTCTCAGGGTGACAGATGCCACCAGAAGATGCAATTCTAGTTCTAAAATTTGAATTTTCTGAGATTTCAGAGAAGTGATAACCTGGAAGAGAGATTATGTCTTCTCTTAATATAAAACCATCTTTGATTACCAGCTAAAATAAGAAATCACTGTACTGTAAGTAGTGAATAAATGAAGGCTTGTTTCAGGCTAAAGATTACATAAAAGTATTTATTATTGGAATGTGTGACTCAACTGAATATATTTTTTATTACATCTAGTCCTCGTGTATTAATATAAGAAGAAATGGATACGTATCAGTTTTATTTTTAAAAAATCTTACTAGAATATGACTTAGTCAGCTTAACACTTGTACTACTTAGATGAAAATGTTTCATATGTGGTTGAATGTACTGAGCTATGAGAACTGATATTCAGAGTTATATGATCTGTTATGGTGGGATCATTTTTCTTTCACAGTTGGTATTAATTTGTTGTGGGAGATAGCTGCAGCTTCTGTTGGAACTGGGGTTAGGGAGAATTCATTTGTAAGTACTTGATTTTCAGTTAATGGGTGTCATTGCATATTTCTGGGAAGAGAAAGAGCCAAAGCATTAAAACATTTTGTTTTAGGTAAGCTCGAAGGGATATATCTTCTTGCCTCAGTACAGGTGGAGTTCTCCGAACAAAACAGGTCCATTATTGGGAAGTCATCACATGAACTCATATATATTCTACTCACTTTTTGTTTTTTTGTTACAATTTAGGTTAGTGAATAAGTGACTAAAGTAATATTTATTTCTATCCAAAGATGTATTTCTACATACCAAAATTTGTGAAAACTGTCGTGATTTGCTATTGAAGAATGCAGTGACAAGGAATTTCCTTCTTGAATTTGAAGGCTGTATATCTTTACAGTCTTTGCTGTAAATGTTATCAAAAAGTGTAGTGGGTTGGGATATGGGGTCAGAGTACCCATATTCTGCTATGGCCTAGTAGAGGAACTGCAAGGGAAAACAATTTTGGTAAGGAATACAAGAAATACCAAGGACAAAATTCCTGAAGGTTGTGATCCAATGTACAAAATAAAGCAGAGTCACATAATTAGTGGCTGAAGTTTTTGCCATGTGGGAAGGGAGATTAAGTATATGTGCTTCTTGAAAATTGTAACACTGTGGGGAGGAAGCTTAAGAAACTGACTTCCACATAGGTGACATAGTGTGCAGTGATCTTGCTTGCTAGCCAGCCTGTCCTTATAGTATCCTCTGCCCTAAACAAACTGTCCTTAATAAATTTTATTTGGAGACTAATTTTTCTTCTGCATAATGTTTATTTTAAAATTTAAAATGTTCTGTTGTTTCAAGAATTTCCCGTAAGTTACATAAAAGCACTTCAAATTGGTAGGACCAAAATTATTAGAGGTTCATGTTCTGAGGGCTTTGACAAAGTAAGACTGTTGTACTCCTCTAAGTCTAGCAGATTAGAAAATAATCTCTGAAATTTCTAGAAGGGGAAATTGCTTCCATGAACATTTATAAGAAGGTTTTTATGTGGACATATTTTCAGTTTCTTTGGGAGTATGGCTGCTGGGCTATATAGAAAAAGTATTTTTAGTTTTGTAGAAAACTGCTGTCTTCCAAGTAGCTGTACTATTTTACATTCCTACCAGCAATGAGTGAATGAGAGTCCCTGTTCCTCCCTCTCCATCAGTGCTTTGATTTTAGCTGTCTAAGTAGGGGCCTTGTGTTTTAATTTCTAGTTCCATAAAGAGTCTTTAAGTACCTTTTCATATACTTAATTACTAAGTTTTAGAAAGGGGATATATAAGGGAGGATTCAGTCTGTCTTAGTCCTTGAGCATATGACAATAAAGAGAATAGTGGCTGTTATTTCTTTTTAATTATTTTTAGTTTTAAAAAAATTTTTGGTCGTCTTGGGGCCTGAACTCTAGGCCTAGGCGCTGTCCCTCAGCTCTTCAGCTCAAAGCGAGCACTCTACAACTTGAGCCACAGCTCCACTTCCGGCCTTTTCTGCTTATGTGGTGCTGAGGAATGGAACCCAGGGCCTCATGCATGCAAACAAGGCAAGCAGTCTACCACTGAGCCACCTTCCTAGCCCTGTATTTTGTTTTTTGAAGGAACAGAGGGTTTGATGTATATTCAGGAATATGCTCTCTCCCATTCTACACTGTAGCTACTCAGTTCTCAGGCATCCTTAACATTATTTTCTGTCATAATATAGTGATTCTTACTGTATTTATAAGCAAATATTAGAATTTCCAATTCCATTCTATTTTTTCCCTTAACCTAAAGATTATTTTGTATCAGTATATAAAATACTCATTCTCATTTAATCTCTTTTAATTATTGTATAGTGTGGATGTATGAGATATAAATTGTCCCTTCCCGATGAACATGTAAATTGCTTCTATTCTTGCTGTGAGTTACCTTGTATAAACTTATAACATGTTGTATATACATGAATTTCTCTGTGGGATAAATGGTGACGTGCACTTGTATTTATATCTAAAATTAAATTTATATCTAAAGTTATTTCATAGTTTGCACTAGCAGTGCAATTGTCTGTTTCCCGTAGTCTCACCAACAGTGGATTAGCAGTCTGTTCTCTGCCAGTATGACAAGTTGAAAAAGATTACTCCCAAATTTAGTTATCTTATGAGGCGGTATTTCTTCATAGTTAAGAACATTTGAACTTCTTTTTCTGTGAACTGTCTTAACATCCCCTTCCATTTTTCTTTTTCTTAAAAAACTATTATGGAAACACAAAAACAAAAGAGCATAATAAACCTCCCATTTAATCACTTGTCAATATATGATGAGCTTTGTTTCATCTTTAATCTTTAACTCTTCCTAATTTTTTTCTTTTTTAAAAGACAGAGTGTCTATTGCCTATGGTGAACTGTGTCTATAATCCCAGTACTTGGGAGGCTATGGTGGGAAGGTCACAAGTTCAAGGCCAGTCTGGTCCATTCTATGAAGACCCTGTCTGAAAAATAAGCAAAGCAAAAGAGACGAGGTTGAACTTCACTTTCTTGCCGTTTCCTAACTCCTGGGCTAAAGTGATTGTGTGTCAGCCGCCCAAGTAGCTGGGCATATAGGTGCATGCCATCGTATCTACCTGTTTTAAAGCAAATCTTAAATAGCATTATTTCATTATTATTTCAGTGTACATCTTTAAAAAAAAGTACTTTAAAATATTGTTTCCTAAAACTATTTCTTGTAACCAATTATCTGAAATCTCAAGTTAAAAATTTTTCTTTAACTCAGGATCCAAATCTTTTACATTGCAATTGTGTACTAAAATAGGTATTCTCCTGAGACATTTTTTTAAAATAAAAAAAATACATGTAAAATGTGAATAATCACTAAGCCTTTTATTCATCACTTCTGTAAGTAATGTTTGGCCATATTATCTCATGTACCTGTCCACACATTATACTGTCTTCTGTGTGAAAGGTGTAGGCATATATTCTTGGCTCTAAAGTTTCTGGCATACGTGTCATGACTAGAGTTTTTTTTCTCAAAGGAAAATTTAGAGTAAGACACACAAATGTTAATGTATCTTTTGATGAGTTTAGATGTCACAGTCCTGTAATTTAACCCCTCAAGGAAGCTATGGCATGGTTCTATTACATCAGAAAGCTAACTTTGTCTAGTCAAAATTCCTGCACCTCTCCTATCCCTTCTCTTCTCCCCTTGCAGACAACCAACCACTGTTAGGATTTTGTGGACCTTTAATTAGTTTTGCCTGTTCTAGAATTTAATGGAATTATATTTATTCTTTCATTCAGCATGTTTGAGATTCATCCAAATGTCCTTTGTTTTCTTTAGTCCTTGAGTAAAATTCACTGTATGAGTATGCCAGTTTTTCCTTTTTCTTGTTAGGCGAACAATTGCTGGGCCTGAATAAAGTTGCTATGAATATCTTGCAATCCTTTTTGTGCACTTAACATTTTAATTTCTTTCAGAACTTAGGAGTAGACCATCCTGAGTTGTAAGCTGACATATTTTAAATTTTATTACCAAAAATGTCGCCCTGTTTCACATTCCCAAAGTTCCAATGCCTGTAACATTTGATGTCAGTCTGTAATTTCAGCCTTATGTGATATTTTGTGCTTTTGCTTTCCTTCACAATTGATACGTCTGTTGAGCTGTTTCTTTCAATAGTGTTTTTTCGTATTTTTGTTGTTGTTGTTTTAGTAGAGCTAGTGCTCTACTATTTGAATTCAGCTGCACTTCTGGCTTTTTGTTGGTTAATTGGACATGAGTCATGGACTTTCCTGCCCTACGCAGCCTCTTGAAGCTAGGATAGGTGTGAGCCAGGTGTGGTATGGAGTTAGAACTCAAGGCCTTGTATTTATAGGTAGATAGATGTTCTACCATTTGAGCCTTTCTTCTAGCCCAGCTTTTTGCTGGTTAATTGGAGACAGAATTGCAGCCATTTCTGCTGGTCTGACTTTGAACTTTGTCCAGGTTTCAGCCATCATTAGCAAGGATGACAGGGGCCAGTCACTAGTACCTCGATGCTTTACACTGTTTCGCTGGTTATTCTGTATTTTTTTTTTTTTAAGAAGTTGCTAGTGAGCTGGGTATCATGGCTTAAAATTGTAGCACTTGGGAGGCAGAATTATACATTTGAGACCAGTCTGGGCTACAGTGTGAATTCTATACCAGCCAGAGCTGCAAAGCAAGACCCTGTCTCAAAAGCAAAAAAGCTCTCTATTTCCATTCCCACCAACAGCATACTGAGGTTCCAGTTTCTATTTTATGAATTGATTTTGTTTTTGAATAACCACCATTCTAATGTATACAATAGAATTTTATTGTGGTTTTGATGTACACTTCTCTAATGAGATTACTGGTGTTTAGCTTATGCTTGTGGAATTTCTGCTTATCTTTTCTGTGATAGTTGTCAAGCACTTTGCTTTTCTCATTGAATTTTTTTTTTTTAAATTTATTTTTGGGTCCAGTTGTGGGGCCTGAACTCTGCGCCTGGGTGCTGTCCCTTAGCTCTTCAGCTCAAGGCTAGCGCTCAACCACTTGAGTCACAGTGCCACTTCCGGCTTTTTTCTTTTTGCTTATGTGGTGCTGAGGAATCGAGCCCAGGGCCTCATGCATGCAAGGCAAGCGCTCTACCACCGAGCCACATTCCCAGCCCCTTCTCATTGAATTTTTAAAGTATGTGTCCTTTGTGATATATAGGCTATTATTTAGCAGTTTTAAAACTTAAAATTCTTGGGTTGCCTTTTCATTGTTGATCATGTCTTTCATGAACAAGTTTTGTTTTTTAAATTTTTCTTATGTTTGAGATAGCCCAACCTGGTCTTAAACTTTGTCTTCATGTGTCTTCCCAAGTACTACCATTTGCGTAAGTTTTTACTTTTTTTTCTGTCCATTGTCAGGCTCGAACTCAGGGCTTGGGCACTTTCCCTCAGCTCTTTTGCTCGTTAGTGCTCTACCACTTTGAGCCACAGCACCACTACTACTTTTCTGGTTAATTGGAGATGAGTCTCACTGACTTTCCTGCCCAGGCTGGCTTCGAGCCATGATCCTCACATCTCAGCCTCCTGAGAGTGGTTTAGGATTATAGGCATGAGCTGCTGGTACCCAGGTCTTTACTGAAAATATTTTTCAGTTTTCTTGTTTATATTTTTGGTGACATGTCCAAGAAATCATTACCAGATCCAATGTCTTGAAGCTTTTAAACCTCTCTCCCCTTTTTCAGTACTGTATGTAGTTGGATACTCAGGGCCTTCCATTTGCTAGGCAGGCACTTTACCACTTGACCCATTCTGCCAGCTCTTTTTCTCATCTTTAAGAGTTTCATCATTCTCGGGCTGGGGAGGTGGCTCAGTGGTAAAGTGCATGCCTCGCATGCATGAGGCTCTGGGTTGCATTCCTAAGTACCACATACACAGAGAAAAAGCTGGAAGTGGCGCTGTAACCCAAGTGGTAGACTGGTAGCCTTGAGCAAAAGCAGCTCAAGGACAGTGTCCAGGCCCTGAGTTCAAGCCCCAGGACTGGCAAAAAAATAAAAAGTTTTGGGATTCTAGTACTTCCATTTAGGTTTTTGATCTTACATTTTGTATTTGTTATAAATGTTGAACTTTAGTTCCCCCTTTTTTTACCCCTCAAGGCTAGACAAAATGCTACTCCTGGCATTTTGGTAATTAATTGGTAGGGTTTCAAAAACTTCCTGTGCTGGTTTCAAACTATGATCCTCAGATCTCAGCCTCCTGAGGTAGCTAAGATTTATAGGCGTGAACCACCAGCACCTAGCTATTTTCTTTTTTAAAATTATACTTAAAAAGTTGTACAGAGCCGGGCGCTGGTGGCTCACGCCTGTAATTCTAGCTACTCAGGAGGCTGAGATCTGAGGATCGCGGTTCAAAGCCAGCCCGGGCAGGAGAGACCGTGAGACTCCTATCTCCAATAAACCACCAGAAAACCGGAAGTGGCGCTGTAGCTCAAGTGGTAGAGCGCTCGCCTTGAGCTGAAGAGCTGAGGGACAGCGCCCAGGCCCAGAGTTCAAGCCCCACGACCGACAAAAAAAAAAAAAAAAGTTGTACAGAGGGGTAATTATTCAACATGTCAGTTCACGAGTACAAGATTTTGTTGTCATTCTGATACTGGAGCTTGAACTCAGCATTTTAAACTCTTGCTTGGCATTTTTTCTCTCAAGGCAGGCACTTTACCAACTTAGCCACACCTCCAGTTCCTTCAGTTTTATTTATGTGGATATCCCATTTTTCTGACATCACCTTCCCCCCACAGTGGTATTGACACTGTGTCCAAAATCACTTGACTACAGTATAAGATATTCCTTCGGGTCTCCATTATGTTTCACTTACTGTAGTTTTATAGCATGTTACAGAGATGCCTCTTTTCACTTTAACTTAAAACTAATAACTTTTGCCAATTTGGGATAATCCCTATTTTGCCATCTCTCAGCTCCATTATATACAAAACAGTGCTTGTTCATGTAGGAGCCAAAAGCAATGAAACTCAGAACAAGTACATACTTAAAGGAAAAGAGTCAACAAACTGACTTGGATTATTACTTTTATTTTCCCCAAGTACTCTTAAAACTTAACCAACTAGCAGGCCAGGCTCGTGGAAGAACAACTGTTTCCCAGGCTTTTTGTAGGAGGCAGAATTTATCAAATAACATGGTTCCAGGAGGTTTCTACCCCAGAATTCTAAACCAGTCACAGAATCTTCTCAGCTCTTAATTGGAATTTTAATTTAGACATAGAACATAATCAAAAGAGCATGTCATTTTTTCCCTTCCTTTGCTGAATGTATTCTCTACTTTTCCACAGAATATCCTTTCATATAGAACTTAATAACTTACCTACCAGTTCTGATCTTTGGTTTCAAGAAAAATTTCCTTATTAAAGAAACACTTTAATAAATATTGAGCTGTTCTTAGCCATCAACAAATTAAACCTGCTTTAATCTATATCTATTTGCAAAAGACAAACCCTTCTGCTTTTATGATATGGAAGGACTGGGAAGACAGATGGCTCTTTTTTGAAGAGGGGAGTATTTTCAAGTCATTAAATGGCAAAATAACCAAATGTTCATTCATACTTATTCAAATGGTGAGAACACTTGCAAGCCTAGATCAGAAAATGCTGGTCCTGAAATTACAATATATTACAATATTGTTTTTAATACATTCAGGCTCTATTTTAATTTTTTTTTCCCTGAGTGTAGGTTCACAGTTTGGTAGAGAGATTTTTAAAGAGGTAGTTAATGGGAATAAAGAGGAAGCAATCTTTATGTCTAGCAGCACCTGGATAAATAGATAACATTTGTCATTTTTATCTTCCTACCATTTAAAGCTGCAAATATAGTAGAGGGAGATGATTTTTTTTTTCTTTTGTGTGATGCTGGAGATTGTACTTGGGGCCTTATGCATGCAAGGCAAGTGCTCTACCACTGAGCTACAACTCAGCCCCTTTTTATTATCTTCTGTGAATTTTTACTATTATGTCATTATCACTGGTCATGACAGACCATAAAATGAACCCTTCAAATTGGGCTTGATTTAGAAAAGAAAGGCTCAACCAAGTAACTTTTATTTACAGTCATTAAGAAAAATGAGTGAACTTTCCAGCACTCACAACCCAGCCTTTTCTCCCTGGACCTGGTTTACTTAAATCAACTTCCTTTAAGTTAATATGTTTATTTCCTATGAACTCCATTTGATTCTAAGGACTGGGCTTTTGAGGGTCTTGATAGGTAACAAAGGTAGAGGTTAGTCCTGCATGAACGGTTTGGTCCAGGTCTTGGCCTCCAGACTTAGGATGGGCTGGTAGAATACTGCTTCATCAGCTGTGTGTGACAGGGGTTGCAAACTCTTTCAGGCTTGATACTGGAAGGAAGAGGCAATTCATTTGTTGAGCAGGCATTACAGAATGTTCCTCTGCAGTTCTTACACACATTCTACAAGAAAAAGTAGAGGTAAGAGGGAAACAATAAGATATAAGAAGCATCGTATCGGAGGCATATGATAAATACCCCCAAGATCCCATTTGTTTTTCTACATTTACAGGGAGACTGGCCTCTTTATAACTCACACTGTGTGTCAAGGTCAGTGCCACCAGTGACTGGCAAGGCAGCAATGGTGTGAAGAATTATTTCCCCTGTGAATGGTGGGGGGAGGGGAGTGCCACAGTTTTTCTTTTAAAACAGGGTCTCACTACGTAAGCCAAGCTGGCCTCAAACTCGAGATCCTCTTGTTTTAGTCTTAAGAGGATCATAGGGGAACAGTGTTACTTTGAAAAGCCAAAGACTTTTCCTCTGGCAACAGTGACGTTGTTTTGGAAATTGTTCTTCATGACTTAGAGGAGTAAAGTAGGAATTAGATTAGTATTTTATTCTATTTTAGAACATATTTATGTAATTTTAACTTTCAAATATATTAAGGCAGTTCACTTATCTAAAGATTAGGTCATATTTTGATTGTCAAAATTCAGCATGATCAGAAATGGTGATGTGAAGTTATGATCCAGAATCTGTATACATTTCTAAGCAGTTATTACTTATTTGTATACAGTATAAGAAGTGGGCACCAATAAGACACAGTGCCAGCTATGGAGGACACTGTTTCTTTCTGAATACTTTCTTTGCTCTCTCTACTCTATGGTAACACTCTGGGAAAGTACTCAGGCAGAGACCCTGGAGGACACTGAGGAAAACATCCTGTAGCGTGAAGGGCTCATGTCCGTCTGTTCTGAGCAGGATGAAATACTAGAAGGAACAAGGGCTGAAAGCTGGAAACTGGCCATCTATTAAATGGTGGTACAGGCTCACAAGAGAGGGAGTTTGGATTGTTTAAATAGGGATACAGGTTGGACCCATTGCAACAATGAGATGTACAAGACGTTATGTTGAAACTGAACTTTACAACTTTGGCGGGGGTGGGGGGAGGGGGTTAGGGGGATGGGGGTGGGAGATGGGAAGGGATGGGAAGGGAAACAGGAGGAGGCAACAATGCCTGATAAGAAATGTACTCATTACTTTGCCCATCTAATTGTAATGCTTCTGTGTGGTATTTTCACAATAAAAAAAAGGGAGTTTGGCTACTTTATCACTCTTCTCCAGTACATGGAATGGCACATGATATATATATATATATATATATATATATATATATATATATATGTGTAGCTAATTGTTTTAATGGGGATTTGCTGATGTGAATTACTGTGACTGAAAAAGTCACAGTAAATGCTTGGTTCCCTTGGCCTTCCACCCCACTTTCTGTCCTTCATGCTCTTATGTCAGTGCCTGGTGCAGTGCACATCCTATGAAGAATCTGCTCATTTCTCATCAGTTACCTTTGTTAGGCTGCCATCTTCTTGGCACAGTTGACACATCTGTGGCTTTTCAGAGGGCATTAGCAAATCCTAAACCACACAACGATCCAGTTTAGTTTCCTTTAGTGCCAGAAACATGAATGCTTTTAGACTATGCACTTTAAGATACTTTTATTTATTCATTTTTGTCAGTCATGGGGCTTGCACTCAGGGCCCTAGCACTGTCTGAGTGTTTTTTTTTTTTTGCTCAAGGCTAGCACTTTAACACATTGAACCACAGTGCCACTTGTGGTTTTCTGGTGGTTAGTTGGAAATAAAAAATCTATGCCTTTCCTGTCCAGGTTGGCTATCAACCCTGATCCTCAGATCTCAGACTCCTGAGTGGCTAGAATTACAAGTGTGGGCCACCAGTGCGCACCAGTGATAGTTGTTTTTTAATTAACTATTATACTTACTATTTGTAATGGAGAAACAAATTACACATAGTCCTAGCACCTTATTACTTGTAACTGTAATAATCGTATCATAAAAACTAAAAGCTAGGGGCTGGGAAGGTAGCTCAGTGGTAGAGCACTTGCCTTGCATGCATGAGGCCCTGGGTTCGATTCCTCAGCACCACATAAGCAAAAAGAAAAAAGCCAGAAGTGGCGCTGTAGCTCAAGTGGTAGAGCGCTAGCCTTGAGCTGAAGAGCTGAGGGACAGTGCCCAGGCCCAGAGTTCAGGCCCCACAACAGGACCCAAAAAATAAAAATAAAAAACTAAAAGCTAGAAGAATAAAATTAATATGGTTTTATTTCTAAAAGGAAAATCTAAGCATATAGAAGTAAAAAGCAAAATGTTTTGCCAGAATCTGGTGGCTCATGCCTGTAATCTTGGCTATACTAAGGAGGCTGACATTGGGACGAGGTGTCAGGCCAGGCTGGGCAAAAAAATTCTCCAGGCTATCTCAGGAAAAGATGTGTGTGTGGTGGTGTGCATGTGTCACCACAGCTATAACAAGAAACCTAAAATGGATGAGTTACAGTCCAGGAGTACATGCAAAGAAGGGGCAAGACGCTATCTCAAAAGTAATCCATGCAGAAAAAGCTTGAGGCTGAGTCAAGTGGGGGGGTGGGGGAAGAGGGAGCGGATTTAAAAACCTACTCCATCTCTCATCTCACTTTGCCTTTGAGAATGATAAGAACACCAGGCATGTTTCATTTTCTAATAGGTAAGTTACAGAGATGAACCAGACACAGTAGCTTGTCTTTCTTATACTATACATGTCTTTGTCATACTCCTCCCATGCTGTCTCACATAGTGCCTAAGCTCAGGACACCAACTTGTTAATTTATACACAAGTTACCTGCTGTTCATCTGTAGGGAGTGAGTGTAGCCTATAAAGGAGAAATAATAGTAACATATGTCAGTAAGTGCCCGGAAGACAAAACCTGTCAAGCAACACCCTGAGCCTGTTTGTCCTGAATACTAGTGCTCTACCACTTGAGCCATACCACCACCACTTCTGGCTTTTTCTGAGCCTCTCCCGCCCTTAAATTGGAGATAAGAATCTCACAGATTCTTGCCCTTGCTGGCTTTGAACCATGATCCTCAGATCTCAGCCTCCTGAGTAGCTAGGATTACAGGCATGAGCCACTGGTGCCCACAGATCTTGGAAATTTTGGCTGTTACAATTTTACTAAAATTTGATCCTTGGCCTACATTATGGTTCCCATTTAAATACACTTGAAATTAAATTTTATGCTTCTTTTTTACTACCAAGGCAGCAGTATTTGTTTCCGAACATGTAAAACTACAGTGGCTTTTTTCCTTATATTTTAATAGCTTTTTCTACCAGGTGTGAGCCACCACATTGCTTTTACTTTTGTAAGAAGAATTAAATTTTAAGGAGTGAATGTTAAATGTTCTAAACTGCAGAGCACAATACAGATAGAACAAGAAATATTGTCACTTATTCCGAGAACTTGACATTGAATATAGACAGACAGTCGGACTGTTCCAGTAAATGACTCATTTTATTCTGGAACTAAGCTGATCATGAAAGGCACCTGAATGGTTTTATAGAGCATTTCTAACTCCCTTCCTATGTGACCTACAGTTAGATGTTTAAGTTTGGTCCTGGATTAAGTCTTATTTTTTTCTTGATACATGTTTTTTTTTGGGGGGGGAGGGGGGGTCCGGTCGTGGGGCCTGAACTCGGCCTGGGCACTGTCCCTCAGCTCTTCAGCTCAAGGCTAGTGCTCTACCACTTGAGCCACAGTGCCACTTCAGGCTTTTTTCTTTTTGCTTATGTGGTACTGAGGAATCGAACCCAGGGCCTCAGGCATGCAAGGCAAGCGCTCTTACCACTGAACCACCTTCCCAGCCCTTGATACATGGTTTTGTTACATAGCCCAGGCTGGTCTCAAACTCATATTACTTCTGGGCACATATAGCACGTATAGCTATGTTTTTGAAGGCAAAATTAAAAAAACGTTGAACACATTCTGGCCTTGGAATCAAGAGGGTATATAGAATAAGGACCCACATAATCAGCCTAATGTTGGACTGTGGAGTTTACTTCATCAATAACTAACTTTGTTCCAGATAGAGCAAATGTGACATATTACATATTGAAGGTGTCAAGCCTGGACAGAGACACATGTCCAAAGTGGATGACACTGTACAGTTCTCTCAAAACTCATCTGGCATCTCTTCTCATCACTATTCTCCCCCTCTAAAATACTTAATTTTAGAGCAGTTTTAAGTTCACAGCAAAAGTGAATACAAAGTATAGATTTCCCATATATCCCTGCAGCCCACTCCCTGCCTGCTCTTACCAATATGCTGCACCAAAGTGGTACATTTGTTTTTTTGGTTGGTTATGGGGCTTCAACTCTGGGCATGGGTGCTCACCCTGAGCTCTTCAGCTCAAGGCTAGTGCTCTACCACTTGAGCCACAGCGTCACTTCTGGTTTTCTGGTGGTTAGTTGGAGATAAGAGTCTCAAGGACTTTCCTGTACTGGCTGGCTTTGAACTGTGATCCTCAGATCTCAGCCTCTTCAATAGCTAGGATTACAGGCATGAGCCACAGGTGCACGGCAGAGTAGTGCATTTGTTACAACTCATCACATATTGATGTCCTGAATGTATATGTTTTTCCACCACACAGTAACATGTACAGTAGTTTCCCCACACCACTATTTACTCAATCCCCCACTATTTATTTACTTTCCCTTCAAAATGTCTCTCTGGAGTTAGGTGCTGGTGGCTTGCATCTGTAATCCTAGCTACACAGGAGGCTGAGGATCATGGTTCAAAGCCAGCCCAAGCAAAAAAGTTCCCATGAAACTCTTATCTCCAATTAACCACTCAAAAACTGGAAGTGGAGCTGTAGCTCAAAGTGGTAGAGTGTTAGCCTCGAGCAAAAGAGCTCAGAGACAGCACCAGGCCCTGAGTTTAAGCCTCACAACTGCCCCCCCCCCCAAAAATCTATGTTATCAATCAGAGTCTGGTCTGTATATCAAAAGCTCCCTCTTCACTAGACACTATGTTGGAAATGAACTATACAACTTGAGGGGAGAGAATTGGTTGGAAGGGGAAAAAGTGGGAGAAAATGAGGGAGGGGGTGATAATATTCAAAAACAAATGTACTCACTACCTGACTTGTGTAACTGTAACCCCTCTGTACATCACCTTTACAATAATTTTTTTAAAAGCTTCCTGTTTCCAAACTCTGTCCCTAAAAGACTTCATAGAATAATTAACAGTTCATTAAGAAGCACCTGTGGCCTTCTTCCAGGCACTTAACATTTTCCTCTTGAATTTTGTGCTTTCCATCCTGCCAAAAGAAAACGACCCAATTTATTAATTACTCAGGATATTACACTATGAAGATATTGCAGGTATTGTCTTGTAGAACAACAGATCTAACTTTCACATGTTTTCCCATCCTCTGCTCCAAATAATTTCTTAACTATTCTGAATTTGCAATGTTACTTTTAGAGTTGATATTTTGTTTGTGAAATTCAAAAAAAATTCAGAATATAGCCTATTTACTCATAACGTAAGTTCTGAGGAGAAATACACATATTTCCTCACTGAACTCTAAAGGCTGGTAAAATGAAGCATGACATCCAACTGACTTGGTGATCCCCTAGGCATTCAATCAAATAGATGCCCCAATGTCCTGGCGACATATATAACCTAAGCAGTTCAGGAAATGCTCTTCTCTGAAGATCCAACATGAAGTTCCAGTGCACTTCTACCATTGCTTTTAATCCCTACCTGGGCAGCTTTTAGGACTGAAGTCTTCCAGTGGTGCATACAAACAAACTTGCCTAATCTATATTTAGGATTCCCCTTTATACTCATTATCTAATTAGCAGTATACTCTGGGATTTAAATGAGGAGCTTATAAGTAGTCCTGCTTTGTTATGTGTAATTATATAAAAGAAGCAATTTCTGTGTTTATATTTGACAGACTTCATTATTAGAAGAGATTGGGTTATTATTGTTCATTTTCCCTTCCTACTAAAGTTTAGCTTTTTCACCACCACACGTGCTAGAGTTCTCTCTTTTCAAGACTATGGTATAGATATTTCAATTTCTGCTCTGAACCATTCTACATAAGCTGGAGTTACTGACTCCTGCCTGTAATTCTTGCTTCTCAGGCAGCTGAGGTCTGAGGATCACAGTTTGAAAAGCCAGTGAGATTCTTATCTCTGCCCACCAAAAAAGCTAGAAGTGGAGCTATACTTTAGGTGGTAGAGTGCAAACCTTGAGTGATAAAGCTAAGGTATAGCGCTCGGACCGAGTTGAAGCCCGAGAACCAAAACAAGAAGCTCCTTTAGTATTTATTTTTGTGTTAGTTTTAGAGAAAAGGTATAAAGAAGCAAATCCACATTTGAAAAAAATTCTTTTAAATTCATGGTTGGGATAATTATATGGTGTTATTAAAAAATACTAGCCATGTTTCAAGTTTGCTGTCTGTATTCTCAAGGCTGCAGAAATATGAATGAAAACTGACAGGTCCATTAAAGTAGCCTCTAAAAGTTTCAATAAAGTAAATGAGTAAGAGAAAAATAAACATTACCGTCTTGTGTTCTGGCTTCTGTGATCCCTTTCCTGAGATGCTCTTGTTGATTTGTAACCTTCTTTCCTTTTCTTGTTTTAGTTCCAACTCAAGCTGGTTCCTGGGATAAATGGGAGAGGGAAAGAATGAAGTTTTATTTCTGTGTACATTATTTTCTGAAAATAGCTAAATCCTTTTTTTTTTTTTTTGGTTGGTTGTGGGGCTTCAACTCTGGGCTTGGGCGCTGTCCTTATGCTCTTCAGCTCAAGGCTAGCACTCTACCACTTGAGCCACAGCGGCACTTCCCTAAATCCTTTTCTTAAAGTCCAGCAATGAAGTTTAAATACTTGGTGAATAAAAAGTTACCAGAGCATATGAAGTACTAAACTGTATAGTACTAAAATACAATAAAACCAATAGTGCCAAGAAACATAAAACATGCTTAAATTTTCTTGAATTAAGAATAAAATTTATGGGGCTGGGAAGGTGGCTCAGTGGTAGAGCGCTTGCCTTGCATGCATGAGGCCCTGGGTTCGATTCCTCAGCACCACATAAGCAAAAAGAAAAAAGCTGGAAGTGGCGCTGTGGCTCAAGTGGTAGAGCGCTAGCCTTGAGCTGAAGAGCTGAGGGACAGTGCCCAGGCCCCACGACCCCGACACACACACACACACACACACACACACACACACACACACACACACACACACACACACACACACACACACACACACACACACACACACACACACACACACACACACACACACACACACACACACACACACACAGGATCAGCTAGTGCCAGAGGTTCAACATTATGAATAGTTGTAATAATCTGAGTGACAACTAGTATTTGCCAAACTTGATCATCTTTACATGTTTTCAGCTAGATACAGTAACAAATATGGGATTCTATTTCATAAGCTAGCCTTTCTTTATAGTTATGTACTGAATTTCCACTCACACTCTCAACCACTAGTTCTTAGTACCCATGTACCTTATATCCAGCATAATTCTATGTGTTTGAAGGTAATGGCTTCAGAACAGAATTGAGTGACATTTGAGAGATAATATGGAAGAGTCAAAGTGTTTTTTAAGTAATAATGTTGCAACTTAATTGTGAGAGCTGGGATATAATCAGCATTTCTAAGCTTTCATTCCATCTGAAAGTATCACCTATTCAAAGGGTTAATGCAAAGACATTAGAAGTGACAGTATGTGAAGAGTTCCGTATTAGTAACTGTATCTGGAACTTTGGGATCTAATTCCCTTCCTTCTTTTTTTTTTTTTCAGTCAAGGTCTTACTATGTACCCTAGGCTAGCTTTGAACTCAAGACTTTCCTGTCTTAGCTCTTTAAGTGCTGGAATTATATATATGTGTTTGCCACCTTGCATAGCATTGAATTCCTAATTCTCGCAATTTTTTTTTTTTTGGCAGTACTGGAGTTTGAACTCAGAGCTTTGAACTTGCTTGGCTTGCAGGCTTGGCTGGCACTCTTACTACTTGAGCCATGACTCCATCCTCGCATTTTACTGGTTATTTTTGTAGATAGAGTCTAGCAAATTTTTTGCCCACGTTGGCTTTGATCCAACATCTTCCTGGTGTCTTTCTCCTGAGTAGCTAGGATTAATTACGGGCATGACAGGCATGAACCACCACCATGGCTGGGCTGATTATTAATCCTTTAATCAGAATCTTGGGAAGGTTGATAGAAGGGAAGCTTTCTGATTCCAGGTCCAGGGAGGCGACATTGAAAAGACAGAGTTGAGATGGTTGTTAGGAACTGAGGTCCCTCTGTCTAGCATTAGCATTACCCATGACCACCCAGTCAGCTCAAGTTGCCCTCTGTTCACCGCTGCCTCGTGAGCTCCTCCACTTCCAGCTGTAGGCTGTTGATCTTGTCTCCAAAGTCCTGTTTGAAGAGCCGGTTGTCCAACTCAGCAGACTGTCGGCCTCGCTCAGCCTGGCGCAATCTGGGTGTGAGCCATATGAACTTGTGATAAAAAACAAAAGCCAACGTGGGGAGGAAGACCATGTTCACAACACAAAATAACCCAAAGAAGAAGGGATGAAGGGGAAAAAAAAAAACCAAAAAACGTTGTAAGACACAGGGGAAGAAATTATGGGAAGAAAAAAAAAAAGATGGCAAAGAAATAAATTCTAGAGAAAAGTAAGATGAAGGTGAACCAGGCAGAGGAAAAGCTGATTTTTCACTTTTTTTATTCTAGTACTACAGTTTACAGCCATTAGATGATAAACAATAAACATCACTTCTTATTAGAAAATCCATATCCAGAGCCAACCTCAAGTACGTAGTAATTAAATTTAATCTACTTTTTTCATGTTATTTCCTAATGTTTGGTACTTTATATTTCTGTTTTTCACACACAATTGGAGCTTGCAAAAGGGTAACTACCTTCTTATATGAAGAATTATAGTATTTTTCTGGTCCATTTCCTAAATCACTTGTTATTAACTCATAGTACATAATATATCAACTTGTACCCAGGCCTAAGGTTATTACATAGGGAAAAGCCTTTATCAGAGGGCTGTCTTGTCCCTGTCCATTCCTACCAAGTGGTGTGACCAAGCAAAGAACTGGGTCTCATAAGACTCCTGACCATATCTTTGGAAGGTTCTAATAGATGTTTTCTTCTAAACATCTTGCTAACTTTGCACCTATAATTAATGTTTTTGAAAGTGAAACATTTAGGGCTTTATATAATGTAACTTAGAAGCATGCTATGTGTTGTCTTTAAAGTTTTAATGATTATTCCTTCCAAATGCTCATAGAAAAGGCCACTTATCACCACAAAAGGTTAATGAAGATAAGAATGCAATAAAAGCTTTATTTATTTATACAGGTGCAAAATTATAAGATCTAAAATAAGTTCAAGAGCACGGGATCTTCCATGAAGTTGTTTCTAACAAATGCTCTTTGACTATGTCAGTGCAAGGACCCAAAACACACATAAAATTGATCTTACTTTCTTATTCTGGTTTTGTCAAGAAGATGGTAGAGAATTTCAAGAGCTGGAAGCAATGGGGTTTGGTGCCCCACCTTCGCAGCTGAAATGCTGCAAATTATATTAAATGAAAAAAAAAAAAGCAAAAAACCCCTCAAATATCTGGTCAAGACCTTTTGAAGGAGTAGACTTGTGTAAAAAACTTGTCTCCCCAAATCATAGGGTCATTAAAAAAAATTGAAATATTTATACAATTATTTACAATGTAAAGCCTAGAAAGGGTTAGATCTGTGGTCACTTAGAAAATGAGGCCCTACTAATATTGCTTGTGGACATCTACTAGGAATTTTAGTTTTACTAAATAATAACACAGAATGTCAATTTATTGTTTATATATTTCTTATTTTGAACTGATTTCCTAATGACCAATTATTAGTTTCCAAGAACCTTTAACAAATCCCCATCCAAACAAAAAGTAGCAGAAACCTTTAAGTAAATGTTTGTTGATAAGGAATGACAGGCAGGAAATCATTACTCATGTCTGAACTTTGTCCTTTTTACTTCAGTAGGAAAAGCAGAATAGATCTGAAAAATGCATAGTGCATTTATTTTAACTAGGAGAGGAGTATTTTTTTTAATTAAAATTATTCTTTCTGAGCTATCTAAGTAGGAAGTAGAATTGCAGAAAAGTGGCAGAGGTAGAGATGATAAATATTAGGAGGGTTTTCTCAAGCTTCCACATTATGATATTCTAAGTTACCTAATTACTAACTTTATCTCTATGTACTTTAAAGAAATATAAGGATGCTACTTTCCTTTTCATCCAAAGCCATAAGGCAAAAACAAAACAAAACAAAACAACAAAACCCCAAACAAAAACCAACCAAACACTATAAGCAATCTTGGTTACGTAGAACTGTACTGAAAAGACTATGTATTTATCCTTGGCTTGGAGATTAAAACTATATAACGAAAGTGAAAAGGGGTACCAGCCTAAGAGATACACAACTACTTTAGAAGAGTCCAGGTTTCACATGGTAGTCACCTCTAGATCATGACACTCACTGCAATGGCAGAACAGGCTTGCTAATGCAGACATGAACAACACACCTAGAATCTGATATTATTAATGACTAGGTTATAAAGGCATCATTAATATATATACAGAGCTTTGATTCCCTAGGTTTTTTTCAGTGGTGTTTTTATTTGCCAGTCAATTTAGAAATATTTTCTTAAAGTTTTCTTTTTTAGTGTTTAATCAGAGCTTATACCAAATTTTCTAATTCTGGGAGAAAATAATAATACAAAACCCAACCAATATCCAATTGGTTTGTTTTTAAAGTCCAACAAATTCAAAGTCAATTTTTGGCGAGAGTTTATATAGGTTAAATAACTTTTGGCTTTCTTCTTTTTCCAATTAATTTGTGACTGCAGACTTGTGAGGTGACCAACTGTAACATGCCTAATGTTGTTTGGGGATCAGTTTATTTGCCGCACTATTTAAGGTTTTTGCCTGTTTCACCAAATCTTTTTCACTAAAGAAAATAAAAATGATAATGAAGTGGAAAAGGGATGAGAAAATGGATAAATGGGAAACACAAAGACAGCAAGAGAATAAGTTAGCTTAATACTCAGATAAGTCATTATTTCAAATCTTGGCTTTAAATGCCAAGTCAAAAGTCACTGAGAAATAATTTAATACATTTCAAAAGCATAACTTACAGACACCCAAATCATATTTTCTTCCCCCCAAAATGATTTGTTAAATCATAAACTTCTAATTGCTTATGAGCAAGAAATTACTTAGGTTATTTTCCTACATAAATATCTTTGTATTTGTCATTCATACCAGAGGTTTAACGTTCTTTTATAAATACAGCTAGCAGCTGTTAGAACCTTCCCTGTTTAGGTTGAGAATCATCAAAGTAAAGAAAGTTGCCCATTCACCCATTCATTCACAAATATACAGAATTTCTACCTTCTACATTTGAGATAGTATGTGACAAATCCAGTGGCAGGGCTCTATTTCTAGACAGGAAGAGGTATCAGAAAAAGCTTTGGGAGGAAGGCTGGCATTTCAGCCTATGTATAAAAATGTTTCTGAAGAAAAAGGAAGTGAGAAGGGGAAGGACATTTCTAATTGGTGCAACTATCAGAGAAGGGTGATGGATAGGAAAATGGAAAGCATGTCCAAAGACTGCTCCAGTTCTGTACAGTCTGCTCCAGTTCAAGAGAGGTGATAAGTTGGTATTAAAAGTGGAAACAGGGCTGGGAAGGTGGCTCAGTAGTAGAGCGCTTGCCTTGCATGCCTGAGGCCCTGGGTTCGATTCCTCAGCACCACATAAGCAAAAAGAAAAAAAGCCGGAAGTGGCGCTGTGGCTCAAGTGGTAGAGCGCTAGCCTTGAGCTGAAGAGCTGAGGGACAGCACCCAGGCCCAGAGTTCAGTCCCCACTACCGGACCCAAAAAATATAAATAAAATAAAAAATAAGGTGGAAACACTGAATGCTCTTAATATGTCACATTGCATTCAATCTTAAAGTCTCAGCCATTTCTGTTGGCTGCTGAGTTCCCAGAAACATATTAAAGATTTCAGATAAAGAAATAGGGAATCAGAGAGAAGATGTGTTGTGGGAACAATTCATAAGTACTGGTGGGAGAGAGCTAGTCAGAGAAGCTAGAGTGGAGGCACACACTAGGTGTCAGTGGAAGTGAGACAACTATTCAGGAAAAAAAAGAGAGAAAAGAGACACAGGAGACATAATAGAAAAGGGCTAAAGAAGGGAGAGAAAGAACCAGAATAGATCCTTGGAGGATACCTTTTAGAATCCCTACATCATGTGGTGTGGTAGTATTCAAAGGCTTTAGTTATGAACAATAAAACAACATGATTACGTACACACATTTCAAACTTCTTTCAGCCTTGCAAGCCAACTTGTTATACACAAGAGCGAAATTGATTAAGCTTTCATTTCTAATGTTCAAAATAGCCAAGACAAGCCAACACAGGCTGACAATGTTTTAACAACATCTTAGAATAATAGGATAGAATTTCGTTTTCTTTCTATCAGCACATCTGATTTAGGCTTCTTAGAAGAGTTTCATTTTTGTTTTTGATTTGCTGAATATATAGCACCTTCTCATTCCTAGCTCAGTGTTAATGAAAAGAAACAGCACTTTTACCTTTGTTCCAGTTGTTTAATGGTAGCAGCCATCTGATTAGTCTTCTCTTCCAAACGACTGTTTAGTTCACTTTTCTGTTTTACTCCTAAGTCTGAACTCTGTATGGAAAAGATATGTAAAACATAGGCTTTTAACTTAATGATTAGTGGGAAATTCACAATGGAAAAAATTAGTTAAAAACTAATATTGTTGAGGGGGGACCAAGATGGCGACGGGGCAGTAGGGAAACGCCACAGCTCTCTCCAACCAAAAAGAGAGTTCGAGTTCCAACGCTTAATC